GGGACATGCCATGTCTCTCGTGCTCACTGGCTGAGAACTTAGTGTACATGGGCTCTCTCTTCAGCACAGGCTGGAAAAAGATACCCAGTAATGGAAAAATTATAGCTATTATACATAAAGTTGTATGAGAAAAAAATGGACTATCCTCACCACTTCCATTTAACACATTACTAAAGTCTAGCAATTAGACAAAGAGGAAGCAATGATGGCCATTCAAACAGGAAAGGAAGGAAAGAAATGTGTGTGCTTGTTGATGACATGATCTCACCATATAAAAGTCCCTAAAGGATTCACGCCTCAAAAAGATGTTAGAATTAATAAAGTCGATGAAGTTTCGGAATACAAAGTTAATACACAAAACGATAGTATTTCTATATATGGGCAACTAATTAAAACACGTTGATAAGAACCATTTCCAGTAAGTACAAAAAAGAAAGTCACACACAAATTTAATAAAAAAGCTCAAAGATTATATGTGTATCTGTCTGTCTGCCTCCCTGCCTATGTGTCTGTGTGTGTGTGTTTGTCTGTCTATGTTGTGCATCTGTGTGTGTGTGTTTCTACATGTGTGTGTCTTTGTCTGAATGTGTATGTTTGTGTCTGTATATGTCTGTGCATCTCTGTGTGTATCTTTGTCTGTGCATGTGTATCTGCGGTGTAATGTCTGTACAAGTGTGTGTGTGTGTGTGCAGATGTATGTACATGTGGAGTAAGTAATGAACTCCCAGTGTTGTTCCTCAAGAGTTGTCCACCTTGTTTTTTGAGACGAAGTCTCCCACTGGCCCAGAGCTTACTGAGGAGCTGGGCTGGCTGGCCAGTCCCAAGGATCTACCATTTTCTGCCTCCTCAGCACTGAGGATTAAAGTTCAGCTCTTTCCTGAGCTCTGGGGTGAAAGACAGGGCCTCACGCTTTTTGGCAAGCACTTTATTGCCTGGGCAAAGGATACCTGCTCCGAAAACTATAAAAATGAGCAGCCCCCATTCTTCTGCTCTGCTTCAGGTTCTTCCCTCATAACCAGGCTCCCTCTTCTCGCCTTCGCGAAACTTCTCTGCACACACATCCCCTTGTTTTGACAATTCTAAGCACATACACCTACCCCCCAACACGCACATGGCTTAGGTGCACAGATTATAGATGGGCCCGTACAAGTCAGAGATCAAGAGTACACTCTGGGGTCAGACAAGTTTTGGATCCCATTCCAGTTGTCCCACTTTCTAATTTAGTAACCTTGAGAAAACTGTTCTGTCTCTTGGGACCTCGGTTTCCCTGTATGAATGAAAGGAGAACAGCAGCTCCATCTTACTGAGCTGCTCAGGGAAGCAGACAAGGGCACGCATGCGAGGCCCAGGGCTTGTCATCTACAACTCTCACGCTCACAAGCTGCTCGCTAGTCCCCTCCTTAGAATCAGAGTGCTGAGCCTGAGCCCAAAGCCAGGCTTTATCCGTTCCCAGCATCAGCAAATTTTTCATCATTGTCTGCCATGCTATCTACCCTCAGCAACAGGCCCCCAAACTGAAGCCGCACAAAACAGCTTCCATCCTATGAGTTATGCCTTATTTCTGTGTGTCTCCAGAACTCTCCCTGATGTCCAGCACACAGCTCATCAAAAGATGCTTGTAAGGTTGACTAAAGCTCCAAATGTAGTGGTGTGCACTGTATATGCTCACGTGTCTTGGAGATGTGTAATGATAACAAGAAAGCAGGTCAGAGAAGCATATGGTTGTGATGTTTCTAACACTTAGAAGCAAAGGGAACATGTGTTTATATGTGACCTGGGGATTTCAATTTTAAAACCTTCATCGTTTTCACTCATATTCCTAGGAATGCATAAAAAATCCCCTCTTTGGCGGATGAACAAACTTGGGCAGAGGGACTGCTGCCAGGTCACAAAAGTGATGGGGGTGTGCACAGCAGCCTGCCTATGTACAACCTGACCCACTGCAGGGGCAGGCCTGGGGCTTGGCACCCAAGGGAAATCAATAACACTTATAAGCATTCCATCTAATCCAAGAGGAGGGCAGCTTCCGACTGGTATGTGAGAGCCAGCGTGTGTGTCTGTAAGGGCCCCAACTATAAACTGCACTAGATTAGCGAAGAAAAAGGGAAAAAATGCAACTGAACAAGCCCCTGGATGCCCAGAAACAAAGTGACCTCACCTACAGCCCTGGATCAACAGACTGACTTTAATTTACAAACATAGATAGAAAGTTTGAGCGTCTAATTTTGCTTTTACGAGGGGGGAAAAATAGCTATGAAGTCCCAGTTTTGACACCACTAAACAGCCTCAAGGATAAAACCCCAAACTGAAAATGCAGCCACCTAAAAACCACGCATCCACTTGGGCAGAAACCAGCTATGCAGACTCAGCGGGGAGCTTTACCAGGAAGGCAGGCTCATCCTTCAAAACAACATCACATGGATAAGAGGTGAAAGACACTTCCATGGATGCCTTCTAAAAACAAAAAGCTAATTAAACTTAGCTTCTTCAGAAAGCAAAGTTGGAAAAGCTAGCGAGTAAAATGTATTCTCTTACTTCTGAACATAATCAAGAAGAATAAAGGGTTCGTCGGTTTGAAACATTCATCACCTGGTTTAGTGAATATTCAGAAGAAGCCAACCATGCTCCCCTCTGCGTTTTACTTTGTGCCCATTCACTTCCAGATACACATATGAGGCCCTGTCCAGAGCACCACAGGCTAGGGAGAAATCAGGACCAAGACTAAGAAAGCTGGGTCTGAAGAGATGGCTCAGTGAGTATTTGCTCTGCAAGCTTGAGAACCTGAGTTCAGATACCAGCATTCACATAAAAAGATGGCCACACACACACACACACACAAAAAAAAAAAAATACATGCACATACGTGCACACACATGCATACTCACACACCTACGACCTAAACTTGGTGGGGGTGGAAGACAGGAGGATGACTGGGTCTTGGTGACCAGCACTCTAGCTTCAGGTTCAGTGAGAGAAAGAGTAAGACACCTAACATCCTCTTTTGGGGGGCATGGAAGGTGAAGAAGGGAGAGATAAAGGAGAGTGAGGACAACGCTCTCTCTCTCTCTCTCTCTCTCTCTCTCTCTTTCTCTCTCTCTCATTAAGGTACAGAGTACAGAGTCTACTGTGAGAACATGGTAGAAAATATTTTCCCACAAGCCCTTTATCTGAGAAGTGACCTCAGCCCTGGTCCCCATGTCCATGGCAGAGAAGAGGATCCTGTTTGTACAGCTGCCATTCAATTGTACAAGTGTTGTTTGACCTATTTGCAAACAAGAGCCTCTCCTTCCAGAGACATTAGAAAAGGAAGAAATAGACAGTTATTTACAGTTATTTTGCTGGGAGAGAGAGAGAGAGAGAGAGAGAGATGCAGTCAGTCTTTCCACTGGCTAGAACTATATTCAACATAGACACCTGGACAGTGGAGACCCACAGCCCACTAAACAGGGAGAGCCAGACTGGAGAAAAGAGAACCAGGAAGCACACACATCCCTACATGTAGCTTGGAGCTGCGGGCAGGCCTACTTTTCATCCTGCCCAGCTCCCCACATGGCTAGCTTAGTCCCAGAAATAATAACACATAAGTTGCATTTATTTAAATACTGCCTGGCCCATTATCTCTAGAGAGTTAGTTACTGGCTAACTCTCACATCTTGATTAACCCATTTCTAATACTCTGTATAGCCCCACGAGGTGTGGCTTACTGGGAAAGATTCAGCATGTCTGACCTGGTGGCTGGCTCCATGGCGTCTGCCTCATTGCCCTTTTCCCAGCATTCTATTCTGTTTACTCCGCCTACCTAATTTTCTGTCCTATCAAAGGGCCAAGGCAGTCTCTTTATTGACCAATGAAAATAACACAATAGACAGATAACCCTCCTCCATCACCTACACACCAGATAAACTGGGTTGGAGGAGATAGAATCCTACAAAGGTGTCCAGCAGCTCCCACCTCAGGGCAGCTCTTCCTGAAGCCAGCAGCCAGCCTCAGCACCCTTACACCATTCCAACGACCAACCCAAAGTGTGTTTTGTCACTTGCAGTCAAATTCTACTAGGAGTGTAGGACACAAACAAGTCTGTGACGGCACAGCCATTTGTGTGAAGGGTACTGTGCTGAGAAGGTAAGGACTTTACTGCATCTAGCTGGGACCTCAATGAAAGATGGGATGGAGTCTAGAGCCCACATTTCACTATTTCTATGTATTTGTCTAAAGTGAGGCAAGTCACAGCCTCCAGGATAAATACAGCCTGATATGTGTTTTCATAGGGTCCATCAGATAGAGTTTTATTTTACTTTACAAATGACTCTGTGTAGTCAGTCTAATAATAAGAAACCTCAACTCAACATTTAAATATTATCTCTCCCAAAAGGGATTCCATCCTTTTGATGAATAGACTTGTGTGCTAAACAATTATACTTAATTATTATTATTACGGCTTTTTCTAATAGAGGATTTAATAGATGAACAAGGAGTCAACTCAGTCAGAGACACAGTGATAAAATTAATTTTCTCACCAGGGGCATTACTTTGAGATTGCAATTTTGTAGATAGGAGGGTGGTGGTGTTATTTTTCTTTTACTTTATTTTCTTTTTTAACAAATGCACACATTGTGCTCTAGCAGAAAACAAGCACAATAATGTCTCAGTGAGAAAAAGTGGCATTAGACCTTCTAGGAGTTCAATGACTTCCTTCCAGCCTATGCTAAACCAGTCTGGATCCATGACAGAACACCGCCCCCCAACCAGGCCAATAACACATCCTTAATCTCAACAGCCTGATCAGCACTCCTTAGAATGCATTCAGACTGACTTAGCCTGGTTAAACTTTGGACTTAAACAGCAATTATTAAGAGAAATTTTGTGGATACATTTATTCATTAACTCCCATTTTACCATACCTGTTCATGACATTCTTCTATTATGTCCTATTCAATTCCCAACCGATTTCTCCATGTTTTCTTAAAATTAATATGAATTCAAAGTTGAACCAAGCTTACCTTCTGGGCTCCCTGTCTTAAGAATGCACTAGCAAAAGTTTCCAAAATACAGTTGAAAAATCCAGCCCCTGTGATTGAAATTCTGCCTCTTTGAATAAACTCTGTCCTAAAAAAAAAAAGAAAGAAAAAGAAAAGAAAAATATTTATACAAACACACACACACACACACACACAAAATTCATCTCTCTGGCTATCTGCATAAAATAAAATAGAACAAGCTTTGGGGGCAGGAGGGTCATTCATTGGGAAGAAGATGCCACTACAGCGGGAGAGGGAAAAGGAAGGGTAGTGGGGCATCGATATGATCACAATACATCTTTCCCTCGCAATTGTCAAAAACACTCATCTTTCATATCACTTTGCGTTTGGATATGTAATAACAGACACTTTCAGCAGCATAATTACCATTTATAATTAACACAAAATAATATCCATAATAATTGAGTAATTACCTGTTAAAACAAAAAATTCTATTTAAGGTTGACCTAACTATGGTACAGTTTATACAGTCTAAACAGCAATCATTTCAATGAGAGAATATTCATTTCATGATGCAGGAAGCTACCGACACCAAGCTAAACTGATGGTTTTTGATTGCCTTCCAAACACTTACTTCTTACAGTCATATTAGTGCAGCTCTCATCCCCTACCAATGCAGCATCTGCAGGCGAAGAAGGCTACCACAAAGAACCACAACAAGCGAGGTGTAGAGAACCCCAAGTGTGGAGTTTCCATCGGACATGGAACATCTACCATACAAGCCCTGTTCCAAGGCCCGGGAAACAGCCGAGAAGATGGGCAGAAAGATTGTCAGAGCAGAGGACAGGGAGGACTGTTGTCCTCTGGACATGGCGAAGATTTGCACCCGTGAGCCCTCAACAGTAAGGCTGCCTACACAAAACCTGCAGCAGCCCACACCAGTTGGCACTCCAGCACAGGCCAGGCCGGAAAGGGCTCACCAGGCCCCACCCCTACCAGCACTGGTTGACAAGCTACTGGCAATGCACAGCTTCTGAGAGAGAAGTCAGTTTTCTTCACAGACAAGCCCCGTGATAGGTTGTCCATGCCTAAGTGGCCAGTCATGCACCCAAGTGCATATGGTCAACACTAATTGGACACAGTAGGGTGTGTGTGTGTGTGTGTGTGTGTGTGTGTACACAAACAATTATGAAGTTGAAAGTGAAAGAGAGAAGTGAGAGGAGTTGTGTCTCTGTGTCTGGGTTACCTCACTCAAAATGATGTTTCTAGATTCTTCCATTCCCCAACAAATTTCAAGATGCCATTATTTTTTTCTGCTGTGTAGTACTCCATTGTGTAAATGTGCCACATTTTCCTTATCCATTCTTCAGTCGAGGGACATTTAGGTTGTTTCTAGGTACTGGCTATGACAAACAATGCTATGAACAAAGCTATGAACATAACTGAGCACATGTCCATGTGGTATGACTGAGCATCCTTTGGGTACCCTAAAAAAGTGATACTGATGAGTCTTGAGGAAGGCTGTTTCCTAATTTTGTAAGAGATCACCATATTCATATCCAAAGGGGCTGTTATCAGTTTGCACTCCGACAAGTAATGGAGGATTGTTCCCTTTACCCCCATAACCTCTCCAAAATAAGTTGTCATCAGTGTTTTCGATCTTGCCATTCTTACAGGTGTAAGATGGAATCTCAGAGTTGTTTTGATTTGCATTTCTCTGATGGCTAAGGATGTTGAACATCTTAAGTATCTTTCAACCATTTTAGATTCCTCTGTTGAGAGTTCTCTGTTTAGATCTGTGCCCCATTTTTTATTGGATTATTTGTTCTTTTGATGACCGATTTCTTGAGCTCTTTGTATATTTTGAAGATTAGTCCTCCTTCCAATGTAGGGTTGGTGAAAATCGTTTCCCATTCTGTAGACTGCTGTTTTGTCTTGTTCTGTAAAGCATGTCCTTTGCTTTACAGAAGCTTCACAGTTTCAAAAGGTCCCATTTATTAATTGTTTCTCTCAGTGACTGTAGTACTGGGATTATATTTAGAAAGTGGTCTCCTGTGCCAGGGCATTCAAGTGTACTTCTCACTTTCTCTTCTATGAGGTTCAGTGTGGCTGGCTTTATGATGAGGTCTTTGATCCATTTGGACTTGTGTTTTGTGCATGGCGATAAAAGTGATTCTATTTTCATTCTTCTACATGGTGATATACAGTTATGCCAGCATCCTTTGTTAAATTCGCTTTTTTTTATTTGATATTTTTTTGCTCCTTTGTCAAAAATCAGGTGTTCAAAGGTGTGTGGATTAATATCTGGGTCTTCAACTTGGTTCCATTGGTCCACCTGTCTGTTTTTATGCCAATAAAACTGTTTTCAGTACTGTAACTCTGTAGTAGAGTTTGAAGTCAGGAATTGTGATGCCTCCAGAAGTTCCTTTATTGTACAGCATTGTTTTGGCTATCCTGGGGTTTTTGTTGTTGTTTTTTGTTTTTGCCTTTCCATATGAACTTGACTACTTTTCTTTCGAGGTCTGTGAAGAATTTCGCTGGGAGTTTGATGGTCATTGCTTTGAATCTGTAGATTGCCTTTCCTAAGATGGTCAGTTTTACCATGTTAATTCTGCCTACCCAAGAGCAGGGAGATTTTTCCATTTTCTGGTGTCTTCTTCAATTTCTTTCTTCAAAGATTTAAAGTTCTTGTCATCCAGGTCTTCCACTTGTTTGGTTAAAGTTACTTCAAGTTATGAACGGTGATGTTTCTCTGATCTCTATCTCAGCCCTTTTATCATCTGTGTAAAGGAAGGCTACTGAGTTTTTTTTTTTAGTCAATCTTGTATCCTGCTATATTTCAAATGTGGTTATGAGTTGTAGAAGTTCCTTGGTAGCATTTTTGGGATCGCTTATGTAAACTATCATTTCATCAGCAAATAGTGAGAGTCTGACTTCTTCTTTCCTGATTTGTATCCCCTTGATCTCCTTTTGTTATCTTATTGCTCTAGCTAGAACCTTAAAAATGATATCGAATAGATATGGTGAGGATTAACAACCTTGTCCTGTTCCTGATTTCAGTGGGATCACAGGGAGTTTCTCTTCATTTAGTTTGATGTTGGCTGTTGGCTTGCTGCATATTGCCTTTATTATGTTTAGGTATGTTCCTTATATCCCTACTCTCTCCAAGGCCTTTATCATGAAGGGATGTTGTATCTTGTCAAAGGCTTTTTTTCAGCATCTAATGAAATGATCCTGTGGTCTTTTATTTTTTTCATTTTGTTTATATGGTGGATTACACTGACAGATTTTCATGTATTGAACCATCCTTGCATGAAACCTCTGTGATGAAACCAACTTGATCATGGTGGATGATTTTTTCTGATGTGTTCTTGGACTCGACTTGACAGTATTTTATTGAATATTTTTGCATCAATGTTCATGAGTGAGATTGTTCTGTAATTCTCTTTTTTAGTGGTTTGGGTATCGGGGTAATTGTTGCTTCATAAAAAGAGTTTGGTAATGCTCCTTCTGTTTCTATTGTGTGGAACAATTTGAGGAGTATTGGTATTAGTTCTTCTTTGAAAATCTTGTAGAATTCTGTGCTGAAACCATCTGTTCCTGGGTTTTTATTGGTTTGGAGACTTTTGAAGACTGTTTCTATTTCTTTAGTAGTTATAGGTCTATTTAATTTGTTTATCTGGTATTGATTTAATTTTGGTAAGTGATATTTATCTAGAAAGTTGTCCATTTCCTTTAAGTTTTCCGATTTAAAACTGCCTCTACCTCCCAAATGCTAGACCTGAAGCTGTGCACCACCACCATGTCCAGCTAGAAAATATCACTCTTAATTTGCAATTTAGGCGACTACTGTTAACATCTAAACACATTTATTTTCATGGTAATCAGGACCAAGAGCCCCTTTCATTATGTGACTAACATGAACCTTCTCCAAGACATTAAATACAGTTAGTTAGTTCCTCTGCTTAAAGCGAAATGCCTCTTAAAAACTGAATCTGAGACCAGTCAGCCTCCTGACCTTAAATAGTTTACCTTCTATAACCACATGTAAATGGGATCCCAATATCTTTTTCTCACGTGTAAATGGGATCCTAATACTACCTATTTCCAACTATTATAATAAAGGAGCATGTAACAGGGACATGAGGAATGACTGACACAAGCTAGCCACAGTTGCTAAAGACAGGCAGGCAAATATGGAGACTGCAAAACCAGACGTCTGAACAAGATACTGAATCTCTGATGGGGCCAGGAATGACAGGGAGCAGGTATGTTACCATTTCTACCATTTTAATGACCAAAGTCCTTCCAGTATTAATTATCTCCACCTCATAAAGCAGAGATTTGGGTTTTACTTGAGAATGAAATAAGATGGCTGAACAGGAAGCCTCCAGCTCAAACCTCCCCCCAGAAAGACAGTGACTTAACAAAAATGTACAAACAAAATTACCTTTATGGGACCTCCTGAAACCAATTAAGAGGTGGCATACACCCAAGTGAGGGCAGAGCCAAGAAGAGTCACATCAGAGCAAGTCAAGTGTGCTGCTTTCACTCACTGCAGGAGTGGAACTTTTCTGTTGCTACAACAGAATTCCTGACATAGCAGCTGCAGGATGGAGAGGCTTCTACTGTGTATGGGTGTTGGTGTTTGTTTGTGGGATTGGGTGTCATGGAACCCAGGCTGGTCTCAAAGTCTGTGATAGGGACTGGCCTTGAAGTTCCAATCTCCTGTCTCCAGCTCCCAACTGCTGAGGTATACACGCATGCACACACACACACACACACACACACACACACACACACACACACTATGCCTCACTGGAAGAGGAGTGTGCTTTAGGCCCCAGTTCATGGGCTATAATCTATAATGCTGGGATTAATTATTTGTAGATACAGATGTAGATATAAATATATCTGTGTGTGTGTGTGTATATATATATATATATATATAATGTAATGCTGCCTGGCCAGCTCACATCCATGCCATTGGGAGGCTACTTGCTCACATCACAGTGGATTCACAAAAAAGAAAATTTCAGGCACTCAGCTGGCTTTCTTCTTTTTTCCTTTTTTTCTCCTGTCCAGGACCTCAGTCCAGGGAATAGAGTCATCCACATTCGATACAGA